CATACAGATAAGTGAGGCATGTACCGCTCCAATTAGTCATGGTCAAAAAAAAATGTGCATCAAGGCATACATTAGTCAAGATTCCATAAATTCACTATAAGAGCAAAATACTAGAAGCTATTAAGGAACAAATTACCTATGAAGGAAAGCCCATCAAAATCACCACTGACTTCTCAAAGCAAACCGTCAAGTCAAGGAATATTTCAAGCCCCAAAAGAAAACGTTTTGATGTACCCCTCAAAACTATCTTTCAAAATTGATGAAGAGGGGATGGGGATTTAGCTCAGTGGCATAAGCATGTGCCTTGCAAGCGCGTGGTCGTAAGTTCAATCTCCGGTACCGATTTAAAAAAAAAAATGATGAAGAAATAAGGCATTTCCAAGACAAAGAATGCCCAAGGAATTTAATGAACGCCAAACCAGCACTCCAGAATGTTCTAAAAGACACTCTAGAAAAAGATAACAAGGTCTACAACTCCATGAACCCCAAGAGAATAAAAGAACCAGGCAAGGCAAACAAGTAAATAGAGTAGAAAAAAAAGGAGCCAACAACAGGAAATTAAATCAAAACATATTAGAACTATCAATGTTAATGGTCTCAATTCAGCAGTCAAAAGAAACAGACTGGTGGAATGAATTAAGGAGCGAAATCTGACAGTATGGTGCATATAAGAGACATATTTAACTCAAAACTAAATTCATAGACTGAAAGTCAAAGAATGGGAAACAATATTCTGTATGACAGGAACCTCAAAAAAGCAGAGTAGCTTTTCCATTTGCGAAGTGAATTTCAAGCCAAGACTGATTAAGAGAAATAAAGCAGGACACTACATCCTTGTAAATGAAACAATCCAAGAAGAAGAGATAACACTCATAAATATATATGCAAAAAAAATCAATGTACCCAGTTATATAAAATAAATATTAATGAACATGAAAAATCAAGTAATCACTAATACAATTGTATTAGGGAATATCAATATCCCACGGTCACAAATAGACAGGTCAAGTAGACAAAAAAATATCAACAGTAAAATACTAGAACTGAACCAAACTTTTGAACAAATGGATTTAGTAGATGTGTACAATGTTTTTCCTACAACATCAAAATACACATTCTTCTCAGCTGTGCATGGGATGTTCTCCAAAATAAACCACATACAAGCTGATAAAATATATTTAAGTAAATGCAAAGGAATTGAAATTATTTCATGCATATTATCAGACCAGAGTGCAATGAAATTGGGAATGAATAGTAAAAGAAACCATAAGAATTTCATAAACATATGGAAATTAAATAGCCTCCTGAGCAACCAGTAGGTCACAAATAAAATTAAAGAAGAAATTAGACAGCTTCCATGATTAAATTATAATACCAATGCAACATAATAGAACTTACAGGACATAGTGAAAACAGTCCCATGAGGGAAATTTATAGTAGTGAATACCCATATTAGGAAAACAGAGCAAGCTCATATACCCAACTTAATGTTGAATCTCAAGATTCTAGAAAAAGAAGAGAAAGTCAAAGGAGGAAATTATAAAGATCAGAGCAGAAATTAATTCAATGGAGACTAAGAAAAATGATACAAAGGATCAATGAATCAAATAGCTGATTCTCTGAAAGATTAAATAACATCAACAGACCCTTAGCCAATCTTATCAAAAAAAGACTCAAGTCCATGCAATTAGGAATGAAATGAATGCAATCACAGTGGACCCTGCAGAAATCCAGAAGATTCTATACTTATTTCAGGAACTGGTGTTCTAATAAGATGTAAAATGCAGAAGAAATGGACAGATCCCTAAATACATATGAACTAACAAAGCTTAATCAAGAGGATATAAAAAATCTTTTAAAAAACCAGTATCATTTAATGAGATTGAAGATGTAATGAAAAACATACCAACAAATAATGCCCCAGACCTGATGGAGTCGCTAATGAATTTTATAAAAAGTTTACAGAAGATCTAATACAGCTGCTTCTCAAACTCATGAATGAAATTTGAAAGGAAACAATATTCTCAAACTAATTCCTGGAAACAGGTATTACCCTGACACCAAAACTGGAGAAGGACCAAGCTAAGAAAGATAACTACAGGCCAATCTCCCTAATGAACATAGATGCAAAATTACCGGTTAGATACTGGCAAACAGAATGAGTCAAATCATCAAGAAGATCATACACCATGACCAAGTAGGATTCATCCCAGGGATGTAGGAATGATTCAACATGTGCAAATCAGTACACATAATATACCATACTGACAGAGCCAAAAACAAAACCCATATGATCATTTTGATAGATGTAGGAAAAGATTTGCTAAAGACCAGCATCCATTCATTATAAAAACCCTACAGAAAATTAGAATCATCACTTCCTCAACCTTGCTAAGATCAAGTATAGAAAATTAGAATAGATGATCTTTATCTCAATCTGTTAAAAGTCATTTATGAGGGGGATTCAGCTCAGTGGCATAAGCATCTGCCTTGCAAGCGGGAGGTCATGAGTTTGATCCCTGGTACCAAAAAAAAAAAAAAAAAAAAAAAAAAAGTCATCTATGAAAAACCAAGAGTCAATACTAAATGGACAATTACTGAAATCTTTCACACTAAACTCAGGAATCAGACAAAGATGTCTGCTATCATCACTCTTATTCAATATAGTCTTGGGGAAAAAATCAGTGGCCTTCTTGTACCTGAATCTTCTTGTACAAACTCACTGAGAGGGAAATTAGGGAAACAACACCTTTCACAATAGCATCCAAAAAAATGAAGTATCTAGGAGACAATCTAATGAAGGAAGTAAAACACATCCACACTGAAACTACAGTACTCTGAAAAATGAGATTGAAGAAGATAACAGAAAATGGTAGTATATCCCTTGTTCTTTAGTAGGAAAAACCAATATACTGAAAATGGCCATGCTTCCAAAATCATTATACAGATTTAATGCAATCCTAATAAAAATTCCAACAGCATATCTCTACAGTTAGACTAATGTCTTTCAGTCTGTACTGAACTAAAACCAAAATGGATCAAAAATCTAAATATTAAAACAGAAATGTTAAGTCTGCTGCAATGTAGAATAGGTAGGATGCTTGAAGACACTGTTGCAGGCAAAGACTTTATGAATAAAACCTCAGTTGCACAAGAACAATCACAAATAATCAACAACTGGCATCTCATCTTATTAAAAAGCTTTTGTACAGCAAGAGAAATCACCAACAGAGTAAAAAGACAACTCACATGTGGCAAAAATGTTTGCCAACTGTTCCTCAGACAAAAATTACTATCTAGAGTATACAAAGAACTCAAAAAAATCACATCTCCCAATCTAAAGACCCCATCCAAAAATGGGCATCTGAAATGAGTAGGCACTTCTCAGATGAAGAAATTGAAATGGCAAATGAAAAAGTGTTCAACATCTTTGGTGTTTGTTCAACATCTTTTTGTATTTGTGAAATACAAATTAAAACAACTCTAAGATTCCATCTCATCCTAGAAAGAATGACTTTTATCAAGAAATCAACCAATAACAAAAGCTGATGGGGCTGTGGGAAAAAACTGTTGGTGGGAGTGTAGACTGGTGCAACCACACTGGGAATCAGCATGAAGATTCTTCAAAAACTAGGACTAGAGGGCCCATTTGACCCACCTATTTCCTTTCTTGGTATCTTCCTGAAAGAATTAAAGGCATCATACCACAAAGATATATGCATAGCCACATTTATAGCAGCACAGTTTATAATAGTCAGATCTTGGAAACAGTCCAAATGTCCATCAACTGGTGAATCAGTGAAGATTTTTTTTTTTTTTTTGCAAATCAGTACTACTCTGCCATAAAGAAGGGTAAGCTTGAGACATTTCTAGGTAAATGGATGCCCTTGAGACAATACACACTTAAGTGGAGTAATTCTACACACATGTGTAAATACCAGATGGTTTCGCTGGTATGAGAAACCAAGTGTAAATAAAGATCAAAATGTATAATAGATACTGTGAAATAGGAAGAAAATGTTCAAATGGGATGGGGAACAAGGAAGTGGGGATGGTGGAAAGGAAAAGTGAAAAAATGGAGACAAAACTCTTGTCAATAAGGAAGAGAGGTTGAAGGGAAGGTAGGGAATGGGAAAAAATGAATCAAGTTGTATCATGTACAGGTACAGTTTCCCTATGATGAATGTGATCATTATGTATACCTAAAATGCACCAATTAAAATAATTTTCTTTGGTGTGATCAAAGAATACAATAAAAAGAGAAATGCAAAATATATTGCAAACGTCCATTTAATGTCTCTATAAATGATATGTTGGCCAAGTGGAGGACTGTCTCCAAGGGTTGGAAGCAACCATTCGCAGACAGTTAATCATTCAGCAGGAAAGTTCTGATGCATGAAGACCTAAACAAAAATGTTTAGAACTACTTACATTAGAGTACTTAAAAAAGGAGGAAACTTCTGTATCATTTAAATAATGTGCAAATACAATCCAACTTGAAAGAGGAAATTTGAGAGACACACCTCTCTAACCAGGTTTAAAAATATGGATGTGTAATCCAAAAGAAGTATAAAACCTTTCTCTTTCTACTTGGCTTTGACGAAGCTTTAACCTCCTTAAGGTTCCCTTTGGGAACAGTGGTAAGCGACTTATCATTCACCAGCAAGGCGTTTCTTGAGGGAGCTAGGGCTTTTTGATATTGACTGCTCGAATCAATACTACGTTAAGGGTGCAAATCCCCCATTGTCTGCTTATTTGGGAATTCTGATTCTGTCCTGGCATTACAAATGGACTTACTTCCATGACATGACATCTTTATGATATGCCAAAGGATTATAAATTAATTGTATGAGCAGTCCTGGCAAAACCATGCCTAACTCTTGTATTATGTTGGTTAGTCATTCTGGTTGGCTGCAACCATAGCAACCTCTTAATCCAGACCAAAGTTCAGCCACTGTAAAGTTTTATGATCATGTTCATAGTTCAATGTTCAGTGACAAAACCCTTTCTGGGAAGAATGAGGTTGTATATCTCACAACGAAGTATTAGTATTAGCCTTCATTTCTAAATACTGGAGTCCAAATGATAAGGTCCAAAGCTACTACAAGAAAATCTTTGTTTACCCCACGGATCTTATTTTCATGAGAAAATGCCGACAACACAGAAAACATTGATGTTCCTGTCCAGCTTTGTCACCAGCCTTGGATCTGTCATCATAATTTGCTTGATTCTCGGCACACAAGCATGGATTACCAGTACACTTGCAACCATCGACTCTTTTTCCAATGGCAGCGTTATCATCACGTATGGTATTTTTCGTGGTAAAAGCACTCAAGAATTGACTCAAGGACTTACTGAACCAGATAAAGATTTTGAAGGTAAATAATAAACTTATTTGAATGACTGTAGTAAAACTAAATTAAAGTTTGTGTCATTTTATATTTGGACTAAACAATTATTCAAAAATAATTTCCTTGTAAGCTTGCAGTTAAAGATGTAAGCCTAACTCATATTTTTTTTAGTTAGCATTGTTTAATTAATAACAGAGTAGTAACAAAACAAAACATTTGAAGGTAAGTTTAAATTCTTGTTTTCCTGTTAAATAACGGTGCTATAATATATATAGATAATTCTTCCTTAGGGAGTTAACTCATAACTTTCCCACTCAGCCAACAGTGGAAAACTTTTTATTTCCCTCTTTCTAGATTCACCCTGCAAATTACAATCTATGATTTTTTAAAAAATGCCTCTATGAGACTAAATGGTCAAATAACTAGATAATATACATTTTTTATTTTTATAAAGTAAAATATAAAACTGATTTTTGATTGTGTTTCTATGTTAACACAATTTATCTAAATGAAAGAGATATAATTAAGAAACAAACATTGTGTTGAAAAAATATTTAGGATAGTAAAAATATGAACAGAAATAATTAAAACTATAATAATAAGTTTATATAGTATTATCGGTACATCCAGAATAAAAGTTACTATTTTGGGCTTGCTAACAAGAATAACTTATAATAAAGGTGATTTATTTTAAATGCTTACAATTTCCTATGTGTATCTATCCTTATTTTAACTATAACTTGGCATTTCAAATCTGAAGTAGGAAAGTATACATCATTATAAGCCCAAATGAGAAAAGTTTGGATTGTTAACAATTTCCAAATTTTCTTATGGAAGAAATAACTTGGAGCATACCATTGAAAATGAATTTAAGTATGTACTGTATTTATAAAAGGCTTATATAAACACAACTTGCTTAAAAATTAAAAAGCAAACAATCTATAAGCCCTCCAAAGATAATTTAAAAAATAATTTGAATTAATAATGTTAGGAAAAAATAGGGAACAATCTATTTTAGGTAGAAGGTTCCCCAAAAAAGGGACTAATCAATCATCAAATGTAATCTTTCCCCCCGAAAACACAGCAATTTTAGATTCTGTTCTTTTCATTTCTGTCTGTTTCCCATGAAGGATGAAGAGGCATGTTTAATGGCTGCTTTGTATTTTCAAGTCTTTTTGTGTGTTCTTTTTAAATTGGTTCTTAATTGGAGGTTCATTTTTTGGGAAATACAAGATTTCTCTCTCTTCTAGAACTTTCAGATCCAGATAAAGAGTGAAAAAACACTGACCTGAACTTCCTGGCTTCTGTACTTGCTTGTTTTTGTCATTTCTTTTTTGTTCGTTTGTTTTTGTCATTTCTTACACTCCCATCCCAAAGGGTTTTATGTGTATCTTCACTGGATAACACTTGATGGAGAGATTTGTGCTCCGTAGCTCAAGGATGGCAGCCCCTTTGCTACTTTCTTGTCCATCTGACTTTCCTCTTGAAGAAGTCGTCACCACTGTCACTGTCTTCAGACGTGGCAGACTGTTTGCAGAACCTTTCCTCTGTGCCACCATTGAAATACTCCTCTTCTTCTTCATATAATTCTGCTTAGCTATCACTGTCATCACCAAGCAATCTATCCAACCCTTTCTTCTTATCTATTTCACACTGTTTTCATGTTTGGGTCAGTAGGTGGCTTCTGGGACTCAGAGAGAGCTCAGAATCCTTTTCTAAAGGCTTCAACAGAGAATTTGGAATGTTCACTGTTTTCAGTCCATGTCCCATCTTGGGCATTTTTTCTTTTGAATTATTTATTGGTTTCTTTGTCTGTATTTTTGGCTTCTTTCTTTCATTTTCTGCTCAGTGGTCTTAGTTCATGCTGTGATTCACTTTCTTCATCAAGTGAATACAAGGTGTTCTTAGAATGTTTTTCTTCTGTAGTTTCTTGGGGATTTTTTGTTTTGTTTTTGCTTTTTTGGATTTTTGTTTTTGTTTTTGTTTTTGTTTTTGGCATTGAGGATCGAACTCACAACTTTGCACTTGCCAGGCAGGTGCTTATATCACTAAGCTAAATCCCCAGCCCTTCTGTAGTATTCTTAACTTCAGTAGCATTTCATCTTGCATCTTTAAAGTCTTGAACAGCAGCTTTTAGTGTACCTAATTTTTTCTTCAGGAGAGAGTGTCCAGCCAGTCTGACAATTGCTCTTTCAGTTGCAGTAGAGTCTGGCTTTTGGTAGATTTTTTCATAGTCGTTATCACCACTAACAGCTTTAATTACTATATTAGGTTTCATTTCCTCACAATATACCAACTGCATCATAAATGAATGGTTTCCTACATGAGTACTGCAAAGCAGGTGAGGTCTCTAGAGCTCTGTGGATAAAAACTTCATGGCATGGACTTCTTCAAGTCATCGTTCTTTGATTTTTTTGATATCTTTAGTACACTTTTTAGACTTTAGGCTGCCAATGTTCTTGACAAGTTTTCTGATGATCAAAACTTATATTCTCTTCATTTCTTTTTTCATCTTCACGACCTCATTATTGAGATTGAGAGTTACCAGCTGCACCATAGCAGCTCATGAGTGCAGAGCTGCGGCTCCCTAACTTGTGAATTTGAATATCTGTCATGTCATTTTAGCTTGCTCGGTTCTGATTGGTGTCTATTATCAAAACAGTCTAAGTAATTTTAACATTGGCTGTCTGAATGGTACCTACGAAGTTTACTGACAAATAAATAGTTGAATAAAAATATGTTCCATAAGAAGTAAGAACAGCATTTTTAACAGTTGTTGATATTTAGATGGAGTAACAACCTCCATATAAAATTTCATAAGTAAACACAGGGAAAAAATAAAATTAAAAACATAGTTAACCATTTGTTTCTATTTCTCAACTCAGTTCCTTTAACTGATTTGAAATTGCATTCTTCTCCCCAAAATATCTCATTGTTGGAAATGCTATTTAAGTTCCATTAATTCTATTAATTGTGCACTTCATATGAATTCCTATTTTTCCTGAATTCTTATATAATAATGCCTTCCTCTTAACAGATAGAAAATAAAATGTTACCAAGAATAAGTTGATTTAGCTACTTGAATTTGAAGTTTGATGGTCACCATTACATTTTTTATTTAAAAATTACGTTCGTAAGTTATATAATATGTAAGTGGACTTTATTTTGAACATTGATGCATGAAAGTATTACCCAAGTACTATAACTATATAATCATTTCCTCTTGGATTATAAGTAATCCAAGGATTTTTCACCTTACACAAATGTGGTGTTTAGTCATCACGTCATGCTATGCAATAAAGCTCTAGTTTGCTTATGAATTTAAGGGAGAAAAAGTTCCTTAAATTCAAAGAAACATGGTTATGCTTCCAAATTATAAATTTGTCTTTTAGATATTAGTAAAAGTAAAATATCCTGACATTTCAACAACCTCTCACACTTCCTCTGTGTCAGCCACAGTCTCCCAGAAGGATCAGGAGCACTTACTCTACTGCAATTGAAAGCGAAGATTTCAAAGGCTCAGTTACACTTTTAGTTATGTGACTGATATTTTCAAAGCCAAAATAAAATGCTGGTTTCTGAATTCCCAGATATAGTTTTTATAGATTTAAATATGAGATAAAACCAAAAATTGTTTCCAAACAATGTCTATTGGGAAGCAGTTTCTTCCCATTAGAGATCAATGGCTTCTGTATGACTGCCTGTAGACAGGGAAAGCCCAGAGAGGACACAGATGTGTCACTCCTGGATCCAAGGCCCTGTGTGAGGGCTGGGTAGCATGGTGGTATTCAAAGAACAAGAACGATAGTCAAGGAGCCCTGAGGATATCAATGCCAAGTGAACACTACAGTACAGTGTAGGAATAAAAGGAGGAGGAAAGTTTGCGTTCTTTCTGGCTGACTCTACTTTTTCCTTGTTATTACGCAGTCACATTCCAACCTCCTTCACATCACTGCCAGCCTCTGCCACCGTAGAAGCTGAAACACCACCAAGTCAATGAAAATGTTGCAGAATTGCTTGAGTTGATATTGAAGGACCCTTACTGGCATAGTTATGACTGTAGTTAAACTTGGAACTCTACTGTCATGGCTTGTATCCAGATGTCCCCCTCCCAAAGCCTCTTGTGGTCATAGGTGGGGCTTTCTGGAGGTGGCTCCATCTAGAATGTGTGATACTAGGTTAAGGATGTGATGCTGAGATTGATTTATGGTGCATTGCTAAGATTAAGAGTGCCCTATCCTGGTGTGAGTTCTACCTACCCTAACAGGAAAAGGGCTGCTGTCATTGCTCTTGTCGCTTGTCACTTGCTGTTTCTTTGATAGTTTGCTGCTTTGCTACCTTCTATTTTCCATGATCAGTTTCTCCTCTACAATGTCCCTCTGTCATGGCACCCTGTCTTGGAGTCAGCCAACTATGAACTAAAATCTCTACAAACTGTGAGTCAAAATAAACTTTTCTGTTTTTGTTTTTTGTACTGGGAATTGAACTCAGGTTCTTGTACTTGCCAGGCACTGTGTCACTGAGCTATATTCCTGGCCCTCCTCCTATAACTAAGTGTCAGGTATTTTGTCCTAGCAAGGAAAAAAGTGACTAAGATAAATATATGACAAGGTTTGCATACATTTCCTGGGCGTGGTCTCATATACTTAGCACAAAGGAAAGGTGCGCCAGCAGTTAAGTTCAACACCTGTTCTAAAATAAGGGAAACAGTACACACAACTCTCCACACAAGCAAGGCTTCAGATGGAGAATATAATTCTTAGAGTCCTTGGGGCACAGAATTCTGAAAATGTATACACAAGAGGATGCATACTCACACGTATGGTGTTTCACCTCCTCTTTGGTTTGAATTTAGGATGCATCCAACAGAATCCTTAAAGTCATTACCTTAACTTCATTTTTTGAAAATATCTTCATGGCTCAAGGCGTATAATATAATATGTAACATTTCTTCACACTGGCAGTAATGACAAGATGCGTGTCATTTAGGATGTGGAGTTCCTGTGAATGTAATTTTAAATATTACTCAGCCTACATATGGTCCAGAATATGTACTTTTATGGAATCATTTTGACAGGAAAGTTTTTAACGAAAAACATTTCTGCTCATGTGGCACTGGATATCTTTGTTCTTGGTCCCAAGAACAGTTTGGTTAGTAGGTGTGTGGGCAGTTTGAGCCAGCATGTTGCCACAGGGGCCATTCTCTGGGCTGGAGATGGAATCACTTGCTTGCTGGCAAAGAATATCTGTACTTGACCTTCCCCAGACCAATTTAATAAGAATTTCAGGGAACAAGACCTTGATCTGCTTGGTATGAAAGACTTCCGGGGTGATTCTAAGAAAGAGTGGCTAGAGTGACTAGCTCAGTCATGGCCAGGTGCTGGGTTGGCACATGTCGCAGGATGGACACCTGTGTTGTTGCTTTCAAGCCCCTTGAAAGTGGGCTGCTGAAGTTAAATTAATTGATTGGAGACACCTCTGGATTCATCCTTGAGTATGAATCAAGGCTAGCTGGGAAAAAGCCTTGGGACCTACTGACCTACTCTACCTTTTAATCCCAGCTGGCCCCTTGCTTGTCAAGTCTCCATGCACCTCCATTTTCCCCAGGAAACCCAGCATTGCACTATTAGACCAAGCTAAAAATAATGAGGAAAATAAATCTGCTGCAAAAACTAATTAACTGCAAAGGGAAGATCAAATGAAGTTGATTTGTCCAGAATGTATGAAGAGTCGATCCTTATTTTTACTGCCCAGTACTGTACTTCCAACCCTTCATATAAAGGTACTTTTTCTGGCAAAGAGTAATCTATCCTTTGCCTCCAGAGATGTGCCCATTCTGGGAGGTAGAGATAGGGAGGCTAAACAGGTGTCCTGCAAGGCTCAGTCACTCTTCTCCCAAGATAGCCTTAGCAACTGTCCAGGAGGCTGGGGCACCCTCTGCAAATTCCTGGGAGCATCCAGACCCTAGATTTTAGGGCCATTCTCTGAGATACATTCCTGTCATGAGCTTATCCAGTGGTTGACTGTAGCCACAAATGCTGGCTCTGCACCTGGCCAGAGTCTCAGGTGACTGACTGAGGAGGGAGTGTAAGCAGTCTCCACCCACCTGGAAAGCCACTGGCACTCCCTTAATGTCAGAGGACTTAGGGAAAACAGGAAGTTGAAGGGTAGATGGCAAGTAGGGCCTGAGGAGTTTAGGACTCCCTCCATGGATAGCTCACATGGCTGGATGTCATCTCCCCATCTCCTGGCAGCACAGTTCCGTCTCCCAGCTGTGGGGTCTGCTGGCCTGGCATTCATCTCTGTGGCCGCATGTTCTTGGCCCTTTTCCTTTCGGGGGCTGCCAGAATCAGGGCAATTAGTCCCAATTGTGAGGTGACTTTCCTGATTCAGATGCTTGCCCTCTAAAAGAAAGAAAAGAATGGCATGTATTTGCTAATCGTAGGCAGAGAGCAGCTGTCAGATGCTATGGAGGTTTATTATTTCATTCTTGTTAACTTTCATCAAATTTTCAGCTTTCATTGTCTGAGTTCTGAGGCAGGAGCTGGAGGGGAGACACAGCTGTCATACCTAGAAGGCAGGAAATTCAGAGCTGAAAAGTAGTTTTACAATGCTGCAGTTATAATTAAGATGAATTGTCTCCTTAATACATAGGAAAGTATGAGTCATCACACTCCAAATTGACTCTCTTTTGAAAATCACACGTAGTAGGTCCTGAAGAAAGTCGAAGACTAAGTTTTATTTTCACTTTTCAATTAACTCTGAAAATGTGAAATGTCAACTGTTTACCAATAAATATCTGTCTATAGTTTTTAGTAATTGTGAGAAGCAGAAAAATACTTTCAGGCCCTTTATATGCCTGAGACACAGGATATGTTTCCCGCATTCAAGTTCTTGTTTTCTAGTTAAATATCCAAGCTATTTCTTTGGCTGCCAAACTTTTTGAAGGAAAGAGTTCACTTTGCCCCAGAGTTTTCCCTGGAGAGAAGCTGTTTTATGTTGAGTGCAAAGTGATTCTGATTCATGGAGACTAAACATTGAAATATTCACAGGGTTCAACTCCTATCTCGGACCAGGTGTGTGGTTTTCTGATTACTTCCTTAATGTTCCTCTGATGTCACCTTTCTCTGGTTTTAAAGCAGACAAGCACTGAAATAGAGCCACGCAAATTCCCCAACCACATCTCCTCTGTGAGAAAAAGAGGCAGCAGACCCAGAGGTAGGACCATAGGAGCCCTACTTCCTTAACCAGAGGCCAGTCCTATCAGACCCCACCCAGCTCTGCCTGCAGCTTGTCTCTGTCTACAATGACCAGCACACTGTAAGCCATAGTTAGGTTAAAATATTGGCAGAGGGCTGGGGATTTAGCATAGTGGCATAAGCACCTGCCTGACAAATGCGAGGTTGCAAGTTTGATCACCAGTACCAAAAAAAAAAAAAAAAAAAAAAAAAAAAAAAAAAATATATATATATATATATATATATATATATATATATATATATATATATTGGCAGGATGAGAATGAGGAAGGCTGGCAGAGCCTTTGCAATCTTCAGAAAACTGCTCCTGAGAAGTGGGCTTTGGTGGGGTACCTCCTTCCTCAAATACTCGGAAAGGCTGCTGGGCAAGAGAGGAGCCAGTGACTTTTGTATCATTTCACAGGGAAAATAGGGGGGATTTGTATTTGGGCTCCACATGATGAAGAACTTTATGAAAATGAAGATGACATAAGAAGGATGGGCTGCTTTATTAAGAAAGGGAGCTTGAAGCCAGTATATCTTACAGGAAGAGACTTAGCAGCCCTTCTGTAGGAACTCACAGTGCACAGAGCCGCGGAAAACAAGAAACCTGGGCTGGCTGGTTTCTGTTCTTTAAAGCTGCATTGGGCTAAAGACCTGAGAGTCTCCACGGATCTCACTCTGGGGACCTGAGAAACAGGAAGGAGAAAAAAACCCGTTACTAGTTCTTACTCAGCCTTTTATGGCTTACAAATATTAACTTCCTTTTTCCCCACTTCAGCTCTGAAATATCTCTCCCAGACTATTTTTTCCCAATAACTTCATAACTCATCACTGTAAACATTTTATTTAATGTGGGCAGAAGATTTGGGGGACAAATAGAGTCAGACACCCAGAGAAGCTTTACAAATGTGTGACTGTGTCCACCTGGGAGGGTCATTTGTGTTGTGGAAAAAAAGCAGCTGGAGGAGACAAATTTGAGAGGAGGGCTCCTGCTGGTCAGAAGCCCTGAGGGACTGATGGCTCATGGCCCAGGGTGCTGTTGTTGTGTATTACTTCACGTATGGAGCTCCTTTGCACTTAATAAATATGCAATCGTTATTAAATGTTGCTAGCTTGCAATAGAATCTGAAGGCTCATGCAAGGGTCCAGCTCCCAGTCACCTCTAGTGTTAAAGCTCCAGGGACTTTGGGTACTCTCTAACCCCAGGGCAATGGGATTGGGACCAACAAACACCCACTGGTTACCCACATTAGCCCTTCCTCTTCTCACATTCTTTTTGGTGGCCTTATTGACTTATGGATCCTCACTGTGGACGTAGTGTGGTGTACATTTTAAGTGTCTCCAAAAGGAGTCAGAGTTAGTGCTCACAGACAAAAGGATGCTTCTATGGATTCCACTGGTAAGGACTGAAGCCAGAACTCACTAACAGGGAAGCTGAAGGTACTGAGGAGGACACTGTGCTGAGGACTGGGGGTTGTCTTTAAAACTGAGATAAATGTTCAGCCATTGCATTACTGTGATTGATCTTGATCAACCATGGAGCCAATGACTAGCCCAGAGTGAGGGATGAGTTCTTTTTCTGGCAGGTTTCAGAGATGCACAGCATCTGTCACTGACATATGGCAGCTGCTAATCCCAGTATCTGAGATGAGAGGATATGAGAATCCAGGTTAGAAGTAACATTCGCATGTTTTGCTCCACACTCATCAAAATTTGTTTTAGTTTTTGGGATATTGAACAATTCTCCGAAGTCTCTGCAAATGGCGACCCTCGTGTTCCTGGTCCTCAGTTTGCTCACTTCACTGCTGAGTTCTGCATTTACCTTCTACAACAGCATCAGCAACCCCTACCAGACATTCCTGGGCCCAATGGGTGTGTACACCTGGAATGGAATCAGTGGTGAGTAACCCTGAGAAGTACATGCCCCAAAGAGAACCATGTCCTTTTTCCTCTCCATCTCTCTGCCCCTCATTCCTACACATGAACATATACAATCATGTCACACCGTGGAAAATAATAAGGACCTACCTACTCCTGTACTGGAGAGTGAAATATTTTTTTGTCAGTCTATAACATTTATGAAGTATGTCTAATAGCAATTGTTTTAAGTGTACTAGTGACAGGCAAGGAGAGGCGAGGGGGCTGTTAAAATAGATAAATCAGTCTTTGCTTTTGTCAATCTGATGTAAAGAGTCAAGTAAAATATGTGAATCAGCAAAACAACCACTGGGCTCTTGCTAAGTGCTTATCCCAAAACTAGGCTCTCTGTGATGTATACATGCATGCAGTGCATGCCTACTTACTTACTTTTTCCTGTCTTCATAAGACAGAAGCCAATTTGAGCTCTAGAGATGCATGGTCTGTGAAAGAATCACAAATAATATCATTTAGGAGGCTCTGTCTGAGCCAACACCCTACTTGTGGGTTATTGGGGCCTAAGGTGTTGTGTGGTGTTGCTTAGTGGTTTTATTTCATGGGTGGGTTCTCTAGTACAGGACCGAACCTTGGTGGGAAATAGTTCCCACCTCTGACCATAGTATCTTGAACTCTTATTGGGTTCTGCCAGGGCTCTGTGGCTAACACGTTTGCCCAGAAGCTGGGCCAGGGCCAGTGAAGAGGACTTTGTCCAATCTCCTCTGCCTTCGTGTCTTGCCTCTGCTAGACAGACACGTTTCTTCACTCTGTCCTACATCACAACTTGATCTAGGGAATAAAGCCCTGACCTACTAAGAGGAGGGTTCCAGAGTGGGCTTCATGTGACTTCCCATGATACATTTTAACACAGAAAAGATGCTTTAGACACTGAGGGGTCACAAAGTCTTGACAGAGCAACTGGGGGCAGCTTCCTCTTGTGCCTACATGGAAGATCATTGTTACCACTTTCCTGGAGATTAGAGAAAAAAGAAAGGGACTGGCTGTAGCATTGTTTTGTTTGCGTGGTCTAAGCATACCACACTTCTAAGCAACAATAATGTTACTGAATTCAGAGGTAAGGTGCACAAGCCAGGCCCAGGACAGCCCCATCCTGCATAGGTAGCAGGAAGAAGGATGCTTTTTGTAAATGTCCAAGAGGTTCCCAGTTATGAAATCAAAAGTACAGATAGCAGCCATACTTTCCAAGGCAAACCTGAATATTCAGTAACATCACATATTCCCACCTCACCAAGGACTTGGGTAGGAGCCAGGATGGCTTAGTCACATTCATATAGGACTGGCTTTATCTTTTTGTGCTTCTGTTTCTTAGAGGTAAAAACAAATATCCCAATTTCATGGCACCCTTTCCAAGAAAGTTACAGCATCCATGAAACGCACATTACTCTCTCTTGTCATCTTACAGTGGGGTTGAGTGCCAAGATTAGGGGACTTGGTTACAAACCAAATGTTCTCACCCAAATGCTGTAGTTCCTTGCCTCAGGTTAGTGCTATAATTACATTTCATCTTACGCATCTAAACCAAAGACAAACTTGTTGTCATCCAATGCCAGAGCAAAAAATAGGTTATTTTTATTTTTGTTCATGCAACTAAGAATCTAAGAGAAGATTCTTCAGGCATGGTTGGATTCAGGGTCTTCTTGGCTTTTGTACTCTGAACTCTGCCCTCATCTCTCTATCTCTTGATTTTCTCCAGTATTTGCTCCATTGTTATGGAGCTGGTGCCATTGTCTTAAAGGTATAAGCTTTGAACAGCTCCAGGAAGAAAGACCTATTGTTTCCCAGCAAAGAAGAGAGACTCTTTAGATAGATAGAATTGCCCTCTTCTATGGCTTGACCAATCTCATTGGCCAGTAATGTTGACTGAACTATAAGTCCACCCCAGAGCTTGGGCTGCACAGTCCTTCCTCAGGCTCAGGGGTGCATGGGGGAAGAAGGGTAGTTCTCAGAGGGGAAGCAGGAGTCAGTGATAGGGCAGAGGCCTGTTGTGGGCTGACACTTCTCCATCTGCACCCTGCACAGCTCAAAGCCTGTTTTCCTCAAGCTCCACATCTCTTTTCTTCCACAGCTGAGTAGAGGCTGACTTTGCACAGATTGGAGTCTTATGCATGTTTTCTGAGGAGGAAAGCATGAACAAAGAGGTGGGGCAGCCTTTTCCCCAGTCCTCCCTACTTCTACCACAAAGAATTGTGTGGTAGTGAAGGAATGCCTCTCCCAACCCCCAGCACACACATACATACATACTCCCAAGGGCAAGATCCAACAGACAGTCAGGAGAGTGGGGCTGGAAGAATCTGTAAGATTTGCATTCCTAAGAGGAGCTTGGAGGGAGGCTTTGGCAGTGGTGGTGTTTTCTAAGTGCCCTGTATGGTCCTTTGGGTCCCATTGCTTTGCTAGCCAGAGTTTGCTCTCATTTTGCTCTCCAGGGACTCTTGATTTTCTCTACCCACTATATGTGTTGCAGAATTTAATGAAAACTGTAAGTTTGCAGGTCCAGAATGGCTTGTATACAGAGATGCCATTGCAGCAACTGGCCTGGGTGTGGCTGACTTCTGGGAGGAGTCAGAAGGAATTATGCAAATCTCTGTGGGCTGGGTTTCCTCATATTCTCCAAACTGGCAAGTGTGGGTGGGGTCCAAAAGGGTAGAAAAGGAAGTGGTTTCTTGGCTTATTTGAGTTGGAAAAAAGCAACAGTGCCACCTTCTGGGTCCCAGAGCCTTGGACCCTTCCCCCTATCTCTGCACCATACTGGCCTGGTGCTGCCTGGCCATGGCTGCAGAGCATATTTCTGCAGAATTTCATAGACTGTCTTCTCTAAATACATCTGTGTCTCAGGTCAGGAAAGCCATGAAGTGGGTCACATGGTCCAGCAGTGACAGGCCAGGGCCAAAGCCACTGTCCTCAAACTTAAGCAACTTTTCATCTACCCTAGAGCCTCCTCCAGTCCCTCTCAAATCCTTTTGTCCCACAGATCTGAAGAAATTGGACAGCTGGAGGCAGTGTGGAGTCTGAAGCTCCTGGCATTCTATCCCTAAAGGGATCTCAGGTCATGCTGCAGCTGGGTGCTGGCCCCTCCCAATGCAAATCAAAGCTCTAGGTAGCCCACTTTAGAAAAATGCATTTAACCCTCTGACCATCCTGCCCCTTTATGATTAAGTTTTTATGAGAAACTTCACAAGAGAAAAATGAAGGATAATTAAGGCATGTGCAGTGCCTGGAGAGCATCAGAGGAGCAGAGCTTTTGTTCATACAAATTATTAAGAAATAACACCATTATTTTGAGAATGAAGTCTGACATCAGTAACTGTTAAAATGTTCTTCTCATATAAAACCCTTCTAATTAGGCCTCTCGGAGGAACGTTTGGAGAATTTCCCTGCATGTGGGTTACAGCCAAGGCAAGTTTGACGCCAGAATGTCCACTGAGCTCAGCATATCCTGTGTGTGTCAGTGGATGAACCCTGAAGGATGTTTGTCCTGGGGATTCCCCATGCTCGGCTGACCCTGCTTGGCCCCAGGGCTCATCTGACTTATTGCGAGCCCTGAGCGTCCTCCTTCTCATCCTCCCCTCTCACCCTTATTAATAACAGCTTTACTGAGATATAAATCAGTTGCTGTGTAGTTCACCCATTGAATGGACAACATCCAATGGTTTTTAGCATCTTCTTGGACATATGCAAATATCACCACAGTCAATTTTAGTATATTTTCACCAACTCAAAATAAAGACTATGTCCTTTAGCTGTCTCTTGCTTCCCAAACTACATACAGAGTGAAACTCAAACTCCTAAACCAGCATTCTCTGCTCTGCTGGGTGGCCCCATCTCTGTGTTCAGTAGCTAGGATCCTGAGGACTTCTCCCTATGGATTGGTTCCTCTCTCAGTCCTTGATGTTGCTGGCTCGCTGCTGCCAACCCATGTCTTTGTTGAGGCTGCTTCTTCTGTCTGTGGTACTGCCGACCTTCCTCTGCCTTTCTGGGTCTTGTTCAGACATCCAGCCTGCTCTAGACACCTGCCCTACTGACTCTCCTATTCTTTCATCTATTTTCTCCTTCATTCAGCACACAAACCACATGCTTTACCCTAGGAAAAGGGATATGCAGTAGACCACTCGCACAGTAACTGCTTCAGAAGGAATTTGAGCCTGGAGGTTTGGTCCTGGTCAGCCCCCACCATGCACAATGTTTTGTGCCTCCAATCTGCTTTGTGTCTTACCCTGTTTTTATACTATTTCTAATGCTTGGAAGATAAACCACAGTGTAAGTGGGCAATACATGCCCATAGATTATAGGTTCCATAAAGAAAATAAGTGATATTAAAAGCATATTGCTGCATCATTTATGAAACTTAATCTCCTTTTCAGCATTCTCTGTTTTCCTGGCAATGCTACTATTTGTGGGGAACACACAGTCCAGTCAACTTTCTGAAGAATTGTCCCGGGAGCTTTATCCAGGAATCACAATCAAAGAAGCGACCCACAGTTATGGATACTCATTTTGGCTCATACTACTCATCATTCTCCTAAATGCAGTCACTGTGGTCATCATCTTTTTCTACCAGAAATCCAGACACCAGCAGAGGCAAGCGGAGAGAAAGCCAATGGAATTTGCTCCCAGGGATGGAATTTTATTCTGAGTTTCATTTTATGTCATTTGGCATTGTGTCTGTTCCATTTCACATCAGTTTCCCAAACAGTAGCTGGTTAGTTCTGTAACCATCAGTGCGGTAAAGTGACTGTCATTCGTGGTAGCTTTTATATCCTGTGACACTGTGTTTTTCATGGATACTGTCTCCCCATCAGAATAGGGGAGATGGATGGAAAAATGTTGTCTGTCTAGGTAGTATTGAGAGGAGCAGAATGATTATGAGCCTGGGGATCTCTCCAACCTGGTCTCACACAAAATAATAAAGGTTTGTGATCTACACCTCTACTTTGATGAGCTCAAAGCACTGTAGCATCTATGACCTCATAGTCCTCAGGAGGGACCAGGTACTTTTGTTCTACCGTATAATGAAGACTCATATGTACAGAGATATTCAGAACTTGTCTTTCCAGGACCAGGGTTTGAAGCCAAATGGAGAGACTCATGAAAAAATGGCCTGGTTTGTTTGCCTGGTTGTTTTTTTTTTTTTTTTTTTTTTTTTTTTTTTTTTTCTGTAGCCTCAGTTGCTGTCATATAGTGAAACTCAGTTGTATGTGGTAGATAGATACATAATCCTCAGATTCCTTCTTGAGGTTCTACAGTGCAGTTTTTGTGGGATGACATTAGATGTGAGATCAGGATAAATAGGAATAGCTAAAGCTGGGGCTTTAGCTCAGCGGCATAAGTGCCTGCCTTGCAAGCAGGCATCGTGAGTTTGATCCCTGGTACTGATAAAAATGAAAAAGACAAAAAAAAGGAATCAAAGCCCTATGATCTCTTTATCAAGGAGAATATAAGCATCGTTTTCAGTTTCACAGAATTGTGGCAAAATGAGTCAAAACAGAAATAAAACATTTTAACAAGTTCCAGCAACCTCTCCATCAGGCAATCCTTGGCTTAGTTACCGCAGACCTAGGTGTAATTGGTCAAATGGTAGCACCTCACCCATTAGCAGACTTCTGCTGAGCCAGAGGCAGAGGAAAACACAGCTCAAGCAGCACGGCTTGCAGGTCTGAGCTCTCTGAGTGGAGATCAGGCCACATGTGAGACTTGGGCAGTGTGAAGCCCCCCAACAAGAGGCTTAGCGAAACTGATCTATCCCTGAGAAGATAGCCGGGTAGCCAGCAAAATAGAAAAGGCACCAAAATTAATTACACCTACTTTTCCAGTAGGACATTTTCCTGGAAAATGATATCAAAATATCTTGAGCTTCATTATGCCACACATTGGCTAGGTTGAATAATAAAAGTGTTGTGAAATGGTCCTGTCTTGGTGGAACGAAGGCTAAAAGGAGAAGGATTTCTTTTATCAAGTGTAAAGGAGCAGTCTTTAGATAGAAGACATATTGTTTAGAAAGATGTCAAAGTTGGGAGACCTTCTTACTTACTTACCAATCTGATTTAGAAATGTGCACTGGAACCTGTGGCAGAGCCAGCTCCAGGTTTACTATTGAGTGGTTAAGACAGATACCATAAGCAATCACTCAATTCCATTTCAAACAAGTTCTTAGTTACAAAGTTGTGCTTATTTGTTGGATGACCAGCTTGTTCCATCAGCCCCCCTGCCCCACCCACAGTGCTACTAATTCCAAGTTACGCTAGTCATTTATTCTAGAATTTGGAACATATTTTGGAAGTCAGATCATCAACAGTGAAAATTTATAAATTCTGAGCATCCAGCAACATTTATGTTCTTTAAAGCTTGAGTTTTACATCAGATTTTGGATAATGAAGAGAAAACAGAGGCAGGTGACAAGCCCTTGCCAACAACTGCTAGAGAGGTACTCGCTTCCAGTGTCAGTGTGTTGTGTAATGCAGAAAGAGAACTACCCTCATCTCACCATCTCAGCAGAGCTTGGGTTTCTAGGGGGACACATTTTCCTGATCTTTATATCACAGGTGACCTTTAAGGAACCATTTAACACATTTGGAATCAGGTCCATGAAATTCTGTTTCACAATCCAGGATATGAAGAGAATGACTCCCTTACTCTGTTTTAAGTAGAAGGTAATGAAATGCATATGTACGTTCAGTAGGAACCTTGTAAAGCAAGGACTCGACCTGCATACTGCTTATAAGCACAGACACTGCTGACTACTGACCCAGCCTGGTTCCTTGTTCCAACCACAAGATGGGTCTCTTACTGAACACCCATGCCACAACCGGAGGGACTCATTTTTATTTGAAGACAAAAATGCTCTTGAATAGTAGTTTGCTACTTTAAAACTACTTTATAAAGGTGAATTTTCTTGCATTTCTGGAATGCATACACTTGAAACAGTATTTCAAAGGGATTTGAACTACTACCTCTTCGTAGAACCAGAGTCTTCCAGGAGTCATGGAATGACCCCTATTTAACACGCCTGGCCTTGTGGTGAGATGGGTTGCAAGATTCATTCATGTTTCCAAAGTTATATAAAATATCACATTCATCAATATAGTCTTCACAGAAATCAACCCTTTACACCCTTTACACTCATCAAAAGATTGATGAGCCAATGTTGGCAAAGAACTCTGGGAGACAGGAGGTAACTTCCAGGTGTGCTTTGCCATTGTCACTAGATTTTTATTTGATCATCTCAAGCAACTGAGGTTTAGACAGGGCACTGCTCCTTTGGATAAGGCACTGCATGGGTTCTACAACATGATGCTGCAACCAGGCTCTCACAGCTGTATATCCTCCACACCCCTAGACATTATGGTAGAGTTGCAGGTAGACATGTCAGGCCCTGCCACCCACTTGACCTCTTGGGGCCTGCAGCTACCAAGGGCAGGCAGGTGCCAAGTAGAATTTAGAATGCATGCTTCTCTTGCTACTTGTCCAGGAATCCTCAGCAGCCTTTCTCTTATGGTGGAACCAGTGATTTAGTGTGAACTACCTAAAGTGATGTTTTCTATAGCCAAGACAGAGACTTAGGCATGGTAGTTGGGGGACAGTGATGGTTCAAAGTTAGGACCCTTCCTGACACTGATGTCTTAGTTTGGAGAAAGCTGGGACTCCTTCGTCTATGGGTCCCTTTGGTCTTTTCCGATCTAGTACTCAGAACCCCAGAGACCTTGGACAGACAAGATCGTCAGCCAGTGCTGCAGAAGGTAGACTCTTGTGACAACTGAAGTTGTGGTGACTCTCTAGGGCAAGTCCTCATTCACTGTCTCCACCTTCCAGCATGTGAGCTCTCAGATAGGGGTTCATTTTACACTCCTCTGGCATCTCCTAACCAATTGTCAGAAACCAAAGCCATCAGTCACTGCCCCTCCTTGAGCTTCTTTGAGGACTGTAAAGTTAAAAATAACTAACGGAAAGGATAATCTATGGAATTAAGCAGAGAAGTCCTGGAGTCACATCACCTAAGTCTGCTGTGGGTTCAGAAGCCTTCTTCAAATGTCTGTGAGCTGGGAGAATAATAGCAAGGTCAACTCCCAGGCTGTGATGAGAATGAACCTACGGGCTCAAGCTCTGCAAAGCCAACTACCTTCTTGTTGCTTAATTCAGATGAAAATCGTGAATTGGCAAAATGAAGCTCTGATAGCAGTCCTGAGGTCACCAGGTAATGCTGGGTGTCAACACTTGACATAGCCAGTGCTTGATCACTTCTGCTTCAGGCCATCACCATCCACTGCCAACTTGTGCTGGGCACCATAGGTCAACTCTTTTGGGCATTGGTCTCTGCTGTTAGTGTCCATTGGCTGATGATCTCTGGAGCTCTACAGTGTTAAGAGCTCTGAGTGTTCGTTTGTCTTTCTTTAGAAATAATTGCTGCTGCCATACTACTAAGGATTAAAAAAATATCCCAAATATGTTTACCGGACTGTTGGAGCCCACACTACCTAAGAAATAAATCAGAAAGAAGCAAGTTCATGGGAGCAACAAACCAAGTCTTTATTTTAGCACAGCCTGTGCCACAGCACAGGGCTCGGTACCCAAGAGGCCTCTTAGACTAAAACTCAAGAAGTGGATGTAGATTGCTACAGCCCTGTTTCGTAAGGCTAGGGCTAGAAGCATGCCACGAATGTTGGGTATGCAAATAAGAGGCCCAATTCCTCCCTTCCTGATCTTAGCCACCCCAGGCTTATCTAGCCTTTCAAAAAGGCAACAATATTATCTGAAGTGGCAGGAGGGAAGGAGGGGCACCACACAACCTGGCTATACTCACTGTTGGAATGGACAGTGGCAGTTTGATTGCCAGGGAGGACATTGGAGCAAACTATCCCAGTCCATTGGGGTGAAGAGGAGCAAAGGAAAGTGAGGAGAGCCTGACAGTTGCTGGCCAAGTTATATTCCACCTTCAGCTGGTACAGGAAAGATGAAGAGTCAGGTGTTTCTTGTCTATTTTACCAAAATTCTGCAGCACATGAAGGAAATGATGAAGGTGAGACCGTGCCACTACCCTCAGGCTGCAGGCCACGTTCTTTTGTTCTGGAGATTAACAAGCAGTAAACAAGAATGTTTACAGCCAGAGGGCTTAATATCTAGGTCTCTCAGCACCCAAGATTGGCAAGCACAAAGCAGAACTACATATGTCTCTAGACCCTTCCCGCCCCTTTCTGACTTAACTCTAGTACAGGCCAGAGCATTTCCTCCTTTCCTGGCTTGTCCAGCCTTTCTACAAATCATAGGCTAAGAATCACCTCTCCATCAATCTTTTAAGGGTCTTTGTCCTGTCCTGGGACCTGTCTCACTTCCAAACAATAGCCACAGTTGAAGAAGTAGAATCAGTTCTTGGCAAAATCTCCTGCACTGGCACAGAAACTCCCCAAGGTGTCTGAAACAACCAGTGAGCACTGACAAACTATTACTGCTATTACCTACGCATGCGTATGGGTTGCATCTCAGGGATGCAATCCTAACAGAGTGAATTATGAGTAAGGATATGCAGGTTAACACAAGGCATGATTCAGCGCGAGCTGTCAAACACATCCAGGGCAGCACTCTTGGAAGGACGCGGTCTCTCAACAAGAAATAAAAGACCTCTTTTCCCTGTCCTTGGGACAGCAGTGATGTACCAGCCTGGTCTCAGTAGCATACTTATTTTCTGCCTTCAGTAAATGCACTTTCCTGGCCTCTTCTGTATGTTGCTACATTCTTTGTTCAGGACATTAAGAACCCAGAAAGAAGCCTCATGGGCCCTTTAGTCTTAGGTAATGTGGGCTCATGATGTAACAAACTTGATTGCTTCAGGCCCATAGTAAGTGCTGGGGGTGGAGTCAGGGACAAAAGGGTAGACTTTGCTGCTCTGGCAGTTCCCAAACCGGAAGTGTGGCATTCCTGGGAAGCCCTGTAGGACTAACTGCCCATCCTACTGTTTGTGGCTCTGATTCATTCAGAAGAAAAGGAATCCAATTAGTCCCAAGTAAGAGAGGGGATTTGGGTACAACCTGAGCTACAAGAGTCATGACTTGAAGAGGGAGGTCTCCCACACACTCAAAAAAAAAAGAACTTTATGATCCTTAAAAGAGAAAGGTGGGGCCAAGATGATTCTTGGTACCTGAGCACTGGAGGAGGAAATGAGATGTGAGATTCTTTGGGACTTTAACTGCTGCTTCTTACTATGTGGTTCAGACTGGCCTCTGGTTCACTCTGTAGCTCAGAATGGTCTCAAACTTGCAACAACCCTCCTGCCTCAGCCTCCCAAGTGCTGGGATTACAGGAGTGTGCCACCACACCCAGCCTGGGAGACCCTGGAGGAACTGTAGACTCCGTGTTCCTTATGTTCTTCCTGCCAAATGTTCTCATGACACTTTAGGACTGGAATGATAATCAGGCATCAGTTGAAATTTCAGACAAGTCCTAGTTTTAAAAAAAAAAAATGTGTTCATGGTAGCCTTTAGACTGAGTTTCATTTTCAAAATGTTTAGTAAAAAAGAAAAAT